TGCTAGCTAACTAACATAGATGGTAAGTGATAAACTCTAAGCCTGTCAGCAAATAGCGTATGAGAACTATTTCTAAACGACAGGTGTCCGGTACTGTAGAACTAATGATTACTGAAACACCTGACCCCACCGGGTTGCTTTACTAAGCCCTAGATGTGATAGCCACACTACTTAGTCATAGAACTGCACTGAACCTCAACATTGAAGCTGGTGACTAACTTTTTGCTAGGGTACATGTCCCACCCATGTATTCACCCAGGCTTCGGTAACCTACTGCCACAGCTTAACCTATGCACTCGGGGTCAGAGCTAACTATTGAACCCCTTATTTAACAAGTACCAATTATACCGCCGAACCAAGTTCATATCTCAAGCCACCTCTAAGAGTACTGCCGCTACCCAATCTGACAAGCCACAACCTTTCTAATTAAACCGTTACCTACTTCTGCCCTTGTATAAATTCACAACAACCCTGGTACCCGCAATTAGACTATCTTCTTATCCGAATTTTATTGGTTTCTCCCTTACTTCTAGCCAACAACTCAAAAAGGTTGGTCTGCCTAGGATTTAGGTGCCTGAAGGACGCCCTCCCCTTGGTACATACTTTCGAAGCATATGTCCTTTTCCTCTAGTGCAACAACTCGGCAGTTCAGCTGGTGTGTCTTCCGCCATTAGGACCTGGTCACTTGGTTCTTCGATCTTGGGCCTTGGTTCGAATTCAGCTCTCTTGTGATACCATTGTAGATCACTGCTACTCCTAACTCAGGACTTCCCAAATGGGTTTTTGGTTATGTTGGTTTCTTGGATTTATTGTGTCATTGCTCCCATTACTAGATGGTGTGACCGAAGTTACAGATTAGATCCAACCAATAAGCATAGCCATTAACCAAACACAAGCCTAATTTTCAAAAATCATCATCTGTGGGATTTGAACTCTAGACCTGCTACTTGAAGAGAGTGACAACTAGACCACTATACTAAGTCACCACACCTCTAATCAATAGCTTTATTAATATTAAAAATGTAATTATATTAAATACATTATTTGTAAATATATATTCACAAGTATATTATTAACAAATACATTATTGTAAATTAATTAAAGTTTAAGTAACAATTGTCAAAAATATCCATTTGGTCGTCATGCTATTTTTGTTGAAATTCAGATATTTGTGCATATTGATTTTTCATAATTTCTGTAATTATTTCAGTTTGTTCTTTAATAAGAGATTAAAGTTCTTCTATATTCGACTTTTCATCTTCAAGACATGTGCTTCTTTAATTTTTATTATTATCCTATAAAATTATAATTAGTTAAAATAAAAAAGAAAAAAAAAATAAAGAGATGTGGTGACTTAGTGTATTGGTCTAGTTGTCACCCTTTCCAAGTGGTAAATCTAGAGTTCGAATCCCACAGATGACGATTTTCAAAAATTAGGCTTGTGTTTGGTTAATGGCTATACTTATCAGTTGGATCTAATCTGTAACTTCGGTCACACCATCTAGTAATGGGAGCAATGGCGCAATAAATCCAAGGAACTGGCATAACCGAAAACCTATATGGGAAGTCCCAAGTTAGGAGTAGCAGTGATCTATGATAGTATCACAAGAGGGCTAAATTCGAACCGGGCCCGAGATCAGAGAACCAAGCAATTAGATCCTAATGCCAGAGAACACACCAGCTAAACTGCTGGGTTGTCACACCGAAGGAAAAGGACATATGCTCCAAAAGTATGTACCAAAGGGAGGGCATTCTTCAGCCTGAGCAAACCAACTTTTCCAAGTTGCTAGCTGGAAGTAAGGGAGGGACTGATAAAGAATCCAGGTAAGAAGATAGTCTAAATGCAGATACTAGGGTTGTTGTGAACCTATACAAAGGCAGAAGTAGATAACAGGTCAATTAGAAAGGTTGTAGCTTGTCAGATTGGGTTGCAGCAGCACGCTTAGGGGTGGCTTAAGATATGAACTTGGTTATAGCAGCATAATTGGTACTAGTTAGATAGGGGTTCAAGGGTTAGCCCTGACCCCGAGTGTATAGATCAAACTGTGGTGGTAGGTTACTGAAGCCTGAGTGAATACATGGGTGGGACATGTACTCTAGCAAAAAGTTAATCACTGGCTTCAATGTTGAGGTTCGATGCGGTTCTACGACAAAAGTGGTGTGGCTATCATATCTAGGACTTAGTAAAGCAACCAGGTGGTTCAGGTGTTTTAGTAATTATTAGTTCTACGGTACTGGCACCTGTCATTTAGAAATAGTTCTCATACACTATTTGACGACAGGCTTAGAGTTTATTACTTACTATCTATATTAGTTAGCTAGCATTATTTGTACACATGAATTAATTACTAAAATAAATACCTAGCAAGATACACCAAAGTTAAAAAATAAATAAATAAATAAATTTTACTTCAGCTTCATCTTGATCTTCATTATTTGGTTGAACTTTATGTTTAATTCCGTGAATTGATTTGCTTGTAATTGGAGCAGTAATGCTTAGATCTTTTCTTAGATATTCATTAGGGGTCTGCAAATGCATATGCCTAGCATATTGGCACTATGCCAAACACTGGCATTCTTATGCCTATAATAGTAGGCACTAAAGTGCTGGGCATGCTTATAAGCATGAGCACAAATGTCTGGCATGTTTATAGGCATGGGCATTAAGTGCCAGGCACTATTATAGACATGGGCATTAAGTGCAGGGCACTATTATAGGCATGGGCACTAAGTGCCGGCACTGTAGGCACTAAGTGCTAGACACTATGGGCACTAAATGCCAGCACTGTGAGTACTAAATTCTAGACACTATAGGCACTAAATGCTAAATGCTATGGGTACTAAATACTAAACACTATCTTATAGTATAGCAATAAAAATTAATAAAGGCAATATTCTACATGCTCTGCTAACTATACATATTACTGTGTATTAAAAATTTACTACATCCAGCCAACTCTACACTACTGTATAGTACTGCTTCATACATATAGAGATGCGGATAATACATGACTCAAATAAGTGATTGAGTCAAATAAATATCATAGTTCAAATAAGTAACAGTTAAATTAGACCATTCTCAAGTGCCTACCTCAATAAGTTTATTTACCAAACTATTTGATTGGCTGAAAAAATTGATTGTTCAAAAAAACCCAAAGCTGCAACCACGCTGATTGGTTAAAATTTATTATAGCCAATACCTATGTTCAAATAAGTGATCAAGTTAATAAATTTAACAACCACAGTTCAAATAAGTAACTAAATAAATAAAATAAATAGATTAATTAGTAATCGAATCAAATAAATAAAATACGTGATTCAAATAAGCGATCAAGTCAAATAAGTCAAGTACACTCAGTTCAAATAAGTGATTGAGTCAATGGGGGTTTCAAAATTAATAATTTGATGTCCAATTTTATCACTGGCTATGCTTATACCTATTTAATTTTTGATTCGGAATTCTAAAAAAGAAAATAGGATCTTCAAACTTCCACTTATTTTGAAAAAATTAATTCTGAAACCCCCAATAATCATATTTCAAATAAGTAACTGAGTTAGATAAATAAAATAGAAAACCAAATAAGTAATCTATAAAAGGCTTTTTATAATATATTATATCTCTATAAACCACATAACTATAAAATTCCAATCTGCATATCAACTAATACTATGTGTGATCGATTTATTTATTATAACATAATATTTACATCATCACGAAAAAAATACAAATTATAAAAAACTACTCTAACCGCTAACTTAATCAGCTCATCCTAACTGTCATAGTGTTATGCGGTACCCATGTAACTGGTAATCAGGTACATATGAAAGTCATGATCTAATTAATGCGTAATCTATATCAGGTGATCACAACTTAATTAAAAGTTAAAATATTGATGCATGAACAATGAGTAAAGTATGTAATAATCAGTGATGCAAATGTGTATTAGTAATAAATAAATAAGGTATCGATCCAAAAAGGGAGATACCAGATTGAACCTTGGAGATAAAACTTTGAATTCTTTGAATATTCTTAGTTAATAAACTGTATTTTAGTGATCATATTGGTGGTAGTATCTGGTACAATATGCCAGTTATCATATATTGCCAAGTGAGTGTAAACTGATAGTAAAGACCCACAAATACACGGTAGTTTGGGTAACTCCATGACACTAACTCTAACTGCTTACCCTAACTCTAACTAAATTCCAGATTAAACTAACTCATCGTTAATCGTAAAGCAATAACATCCACGAATTATACAATTATGATATGATGATACATAGTACAATGCCACAACATAAATACACAATGATTTTGGAAAAAAATAAAACACCACCAACGAACCATGACTGCAAAAATGATGAATCAAAAAATAGTAATACTGGATCACTAACGAATGATGATGATGATACTGAATACAATTTCACCAACAAGCAGCAAAAATGTACCAGTATAATGAAATACCAAATGTGACTCAATCAGCGAATAACCAAAACAGCATTAGTAATATAACTTCACCAGCAACGATGAAAACAAACAGCAATCCAACAACACGATTAAAAAAAGAAGGCGTTAGTAAAGGAAAAAAAAGGTAATATAACAAAAAAAAAGACCAAATACAACTCAACTAGCGAATGGCTATGATCTCATAAACAGCGATACAGAATATAACCTCACTAGCAACGACAAAATGGTAATCCAATGACACGATTAAAAAAAAAAAGATTGGTTAGTAAAGAAGTAAAGAAGAAAAGGCAACAAAAAAAAAAAAGAAGTTATGTCGAAACACCAAATGCAACTTTACCAGCAAACAACAACTATTGGAATCAGCGATACAGGAAACAACTCCACAGCAATGACGAAATAGCAATCCAACGATGTGACTTTACCAGTGAATAATGCACTAGAAACAACGTTACAGAATACAACTCCACCAGCAACGATGAAATGCAACAACCTGATTAAAAAGAAAACTAGTTAATAAAGAAAATAAAAAAAAGCAATATAGCAACGAGGCACAAAAAAATGTGACTCCACTAGCGAATGATAACCATTGGGACAAACGTTGAGACGACAATTAAATAACATGACTTCAAAACTAAAAAGAAAAGATAGTTAGCTTGTAAAGGAAAAAACAGTAATAAATGACAATAAGAAAAGCAAATACTTCTCTGTAGATCTATGTAACTGGGGGTATATAGCGTTATATATATATATATATATATTTTTTGATGATCATGCCACATGCCCTGCTTTTATTGATTATATATGACAATCCAAAGGATTTTTATATTACATCTTATTACTGGAATGTGACTCACCCGGTTACCTATATAGAGTA